CTTAATTTTTTTATTTTATAATACTTATAAAACCATCCATATCTATAACGTTCATGATATCATCAACAGCCCTTAACAGTCCACTGCTGGACATAGGCCTTTCCAGACGGGTTGGTATAGGGTTTGTTTTAAGTTTTCCTTCTCTTTGCAGTGCTAATGTCCTGTGTGTCTATACAATGGTTGGTATTATACGAGTAGATTTTATACTATTAAAAGAGCAATTCTTTTAAACATATATGAGTATAAAAATTTATATACTCATTTCATGTATCTCGGAAACTTTTTGTTTGTCTGTAATTTTAATGAATTTTGGTAATTAGATAGAAAGACTATATACTATGTTGATTCAAACATCCTTTTTTGCTTTTTTAAATCGAATCAATAAAACGTTTGATATTGTCAACAAAAATTATTTTTTAACCGAATTGAAGAACACAATAGAGTAGGTTATCAATTCGTCTGTTTTTTTCTTTTTTTTCTATGTTTGTTACGTGATATCTCCGTCGTATTGCTATAATAAGTACTATAATAAGACCCTTAATATCAAAGGTAACATACCTTTTATATTATTTTATTTCTTACTTAGATTTGTAATTAATTTTTAAATGCTCTTTCAGTCAGTCAGTCAGTATTGGTTGAAGTCGGTTCAACTTTTAAAAGGATTTATGTTTGTCTGTATTTTTCCTCTCATTTCTCTAATTTACTTTCAAACTTCCTAATACATTTCTGATGAAATTCCTAAGTAATTCTAACAATATTTCTGTTCCTAAGTTTCTTCGATTGTTATGCTTGAAGTTGTCGTGCTTGAATTTAGTCAGTTTTAATTACTACCGAAACTTTCTTCTCACCTGTCGCATCTAACTTTGCATTTAATTTCACACGTTGTCGAGAGCAAATTTCGTCATAACGATGTTTATCGCATAACATATGTAATGCTACTTGTGCAGAACTATAATACATAAGTTAAAAGATAAGGTGTTTGTGTGACGGGCGGTTCTCGATGGGATCATGACCAATTGTCATGCATTGTATTACATGGTAGTAACAATCAATACTGCTGACAGGTGATGGTTATTGCGCTGAAGTTATGGGATATGATATGGTTTTAACAGTTTCAATACATTTTTTGTCTTGATTGGTTTAATGCTTGTGTTCGTATACGAACTGAATTAACAGAAGTCTTATAAATAATAACAAAATAAAAGTTAACGGTTCTCGAATAAAGTAAGAACTATTTAAAGTTTCTGTATAGTCTTAGAAAAACCTCGATTTTCTGAATTATTTCATGTAACGGTCCTTAAATTTAACATACGTACCATTTAAACCAAATTTTAAATTAGTACTAGCGGTAATACGAGTACATATGATTCAGTACGTCGTACATATGTTAAATACATTTCAATTGGCGACTTCGATGATTATTTTTTTATCGTGTACTGGGCAAACCTGTAGAGGGGTCACCCGATAGAAAGTGCTATGCATGCAAATGCTTTACTGGCCTTTTAGTTTCCCTCACCTTGGCGGGCTTATCTCTGGTTTATATCACGACTTAAAACTAATTTGTCTTATAGTGAAACGCACCAATTAATTTTACTCTTTATTTCTTGGTTATAATAAAGGTTTATACTTTTAATTTTAATCACTGTGAAACACTAAATTCAGTTAATACTACTGAGCGGGGAAAACCTCTTGTCAAACCTCCTTGACACTGCCTGTCATTACTTTTTTACTGACACTCTATATACCACACTCGCCCCCTTTAAAAAGCTCTTACTATTTTTTTTTTTTTTTTTTTTAAAGTTAGATAATTGAATTATTAGGTAGGTATGTACCACAAATTTATAAATTTAACCTAGTAGGAGCTTTACAGATTCTAGTAGATCTTCTCAGCTCAGTATTATTAGAATTACTTAACAAAGATTTCTGAGAAACCTGTTCTTCCACACAAACATTTTTTTCCAATGGATCAATCTGATCCTCCAGCATTGATTCTCTTTCTATATCTAAGGTATTATTTATTTCTGGTAGAACCTCCTGTCTAATTTCAATATCTTTATTTAAAACTAGAGTTTGTATCTATTGGTGACAAAATAACTGGTGTATAGACAGGGGTTTCTTTACAATTATCTTCAAAATCTTGACTATTCTTATTTGTTACAACCATACTACAATTTCATGTTTTTGAACACCATTAACACTTATTATATAACGAACAGGACTCAAACATTGAACAATGAATGCTTTGGACCATCCTTTTCCTTCTTTCAAATTTTTACACCAAACACTGTCTCCCACTTTAAACATTACTTGTGCCATTAAATTATTAGCAGACTGAACAATTCTTTTTGACAATATATTTGAAGGTTTCATTAATTCAAAACGAGTCCTTGGTTTATACTTAAATATAATTTCATTTGGAGACATACCAGTAGAATTAGGTGCATTTCTGTAAGTAAATAAAAAATTTTGTAACAGTACTTCTTTGGACAATCCCTTTTTTTGCAAAATTAATTTACTCAGTGCTTGTTTTATAGTTTGAACTGTTCTCTCTGCCATACCATTAGATTCAGGATGATATGGAGGACTTTTTAAAGGAATACATCCATTAGATTTAAGAAAATTTAGGAATTCAATAGAAGTAAATGGTGGTCCATTATCACTAACTATTTCAGCTGGTATCCCAATAATAGCAAATGTTCTACACAATTTTTCAATTACTTGGCTCGCAGAAGTACCTAGCATAATATGAACATCAAGCCATTTAGATCTTGAATCTACTATTAATAAGTAAGTAGTCGAATCCTTCATAAAAAAATCTATGTGAACCCGTTCAAAATTATTTTCACATTTTTTCCAACTTACCGGCTCAATACTTTTAGTAAAGTTTCTGGTTGACTGGCAAATATCACATTTAGAAATTTCTGTTTCTATATCATTATTATAATTAGGCCACCAACAATATCCCCTGACTAACATTTTAGTTTGAACAATCCCCTGATGTGATTCGTGAAACATCCCTAACACTTTACTTCTTAACTGCTCTGGAATGATCACTCTACCTCCCCAAAGTACACATTTTTGTTCAGTTACTAACTCAGCTCTTTTACTAAAATATGGCTTTAAACATTCATCTGACATATAATTTGGCCAGCCTGTCATCACATACTCATATACCTTACTTAATATGGGGTCCTTTTGAGTGTACTTTGCTATCTCTTGATAACTTAATGGCACTTCATTCACAAAATTAAAATAGTTTATACTACCACTAACATCTACTTTTTCAGGTAAAGGCAACCTTGACAAGGCATCCGCATTTCCTAGTAATGAACCCTTTCGATAAGTAATTTCATATATGTATCCTGACAATATTAAAGCCCATCTCTGTAATCTTGAATTTGCAGTAACTGGAATTTTTTTTTGTCGGTCAAAAATAAATTTTAATGGCTGATGATCAGTCACTAAAATAAACTTTCTCCCATACAAATACTTGTGAAATTTTTGTACAGCAAATATAATAGCTAAAGCTTCTTTCTCCACTTGTGAATAATTTTTTTGGGCATTATTTAATGTAGCTGATGCAAAACAAATAGGCTCCTTTTCTATCTTATGGCTTAATACTGCTCCTATACCATATTGACTAGCATCTGCTGTTACATACAAATCCTTCATACAATCATAATGCACCAATAAACCATGCTCCAATACTAGTTTTTTACTTAATTCAAAAGACTTATTACATGTCTCTGTCCAACGAAACGGAACATCTTTTCTTAATAGGTTATGCAACGGTGCCAAATGATCTGCTAATCTGGGTAAAAATTTTCCATAGTAATTTAGCAGCCCTAAGTATGCCTGTAACTGAGTAATTGAACCAGGTGGTGGAGCCTTAGCTATGGCTTCGATTTTATCTGGTAAAGGTCTTATACCCTGACTACTAATGATATGTCCTAAAAATTTAATTTCTTTACAGAAAAACTGACATTTTTCTAAATTTACTCTCACATTATATTGTTTAAATCTTTGTAAAACATTTTCCAAGTTTTTTTTACAATCCTGCGAACTATTTCCACTAATAATAATATCGTCAATGAATACTCTAACATTACTAACATTCTGCAGTATTTGATCCATAACACTCTGAAAAACAGATGGCCCACTTGACACACCAAATTGTAAACGAGTAGGTCTAAATAATCCTAAATGGGTATTAATAGTCATATACTCTTGTGACTTATCATCTAATAACAATTGTTGATATGCTCCACTAAGATCAAGTACACAAAAACAAGTTGCTCCAGCCAATTCAGAAAATATATCTTCTGGCAGAGGCAAGGGATAATGATCAGTGTCTAATTGTTTATTTAATGTGACTTTGTAATCTACACAAACTCTTATGTTTTTATTACTTTTTTCTACTATAACAATGGGGCTAGCCCAATCACTGTGTGTAACTTTTTTAATTATACCTGTCTTGACTAAATTTAACAATTCAGCTTCAACTTCTTGATTTTTTGAATAGGGAATTGAATATGCTTTATGGAATGTGGGTGTTGCTCCATCTTTCAATTTCAACTTGGCCTTAAAATTTAGAATATGAGAGTACCTATCCTTTGAGAATACTCTTTATATTTGACCTTTAATTGACTTACAATGTTACTTGAATCAAAATTATCACAATTTACCTGTAAATCAGACACATTATTTATTTTAAACATATTTTGCCACTTTGGGAATAGCACAGTTAGCCAATTTCTGCCAATCAAAGGGCTAAAGTAACTATCAGTATTAATCACTATTAAAAATAAATCCTTTTTAATATTATTTGTCTTAACTCGTATTGCTCCCAATACTGATAATTGCTCACCCGACACAGACTTTAGTTTTACATTACATTTTCTTAATTGATATTCAGGAAAATATGTGTCATAGTCCTTTTTGTGTATAACAGACTTACAAGCTCCAGTATCAATTTGCATATTTAGTCTTCTTTTTCCTAGTCACAATGTCATTGATGCCATATCCTGCTCTGAAATCTTCATGATACTTCCTAGAACTACCTCCTCCTGCTCTTCATGATGGTCACTGACCTCTTTCTCTTGTTCCACATTTTTAACATTGTTTCCTTTCATTGATAATTTAAACCGGCATTTATTTGCCAAATGCCCAGGCTTCTTGCAAACAAAACATATCCATTCTTTTTTAAAACACCTAGTAGTTAAATGAGCACCCCCACAACGTCTGCATTCTAGCTTCCCTTCCAACTTGAGATTTTGTTCTAAGTGGGGCACTTGAGCTTTGGATCCTTGCCGATATTGAGGCTTCTTTACTAAATGGATATTTCCATCTGGTTGTATGTACTTAGTGTCTCTTTCTGCACTCTCAAAAGCTAAAGCCATTTGGATACCTTTCTCAAATGATAAATCATCAGGCTCCGACAGTAATTTACTTTTTAAAATGTCATTTCTTAATCCAGATACAAATCTGTCCCGAAGTGCTTCTTTTAAAAAAGTTTTAAATTGACAATTTGCAGCTAACCTTTTGATTTGAACAACAAAATCATTTATGGACTGATTTTCCTTCTGTTTATATTGGTAAAACTCGTATCGCGCTGCAATTGCTGATTTCTTTTCAATATAATGCCCCTTTAAAACCTCCACTAATTTAGTGTATGATAACGAGCTCGGTACCTCTGGAGACACTAAATTTTTTAATGTTTCGTAGCTTTCCGACCCAATCAAAGTGATAAACAAGGCAATCTTCTTTTTTTCTTCTGTAACATCATTTATAAAGAAATATTGTTCCATTCTCTCGGTGTAAGCCGAAAAATCGGTACCCACGCGATAGTTTTCTATCGACCCAATCATGATTTCTTTTTACCTCGTCGCCAATAATTTGTCTTATAGTGAAACGCACCAATTAATTTTACTCTTTATTTCTTGGTTATAATAAAGGTTTATACTTTTAATTTTAATCACTGTGAAACACTAAATTCAGTTAATACTACTGAGCGGGGAAAACCTCTTGTCAAACCTCCTTGACACTGCCTGTCATTACTTTTTTACTGACACTATATACCACAAAAAACACTAGCTTTAAGGTTTACTTTTTTAAAGTCATTAACACCAATATATTAGCTTCAAACCTTCAAGAAAAGAGCGTACTCCTTCCTCAAACGCGTAACCGATTTACATGTTAATATATTATTATAGATAGGTTTTAGAAGAATAGATTATTTTACACTGGTATCCCTTTCTCCCCTTGTCATTATTGCCCCTACACCGGTTATGTCGAATATAAAGATAACTTTACCGATGTTTAAGTATCTAGTATCGAAAGGTGTTTCAAAATATTATTTTCTAAAGGTGTGAAACACAGTACTAATTAAATCAGTAATATTAACGCCTCTAAGTCTAATAAAAGATAAGATTATGAATATTATACGACTAAACTAAAAAAAAACGACTATATTAAAGTATATTGACGACCGAATGGCGTAGTGGTTTGTGTAACGGACTGCTATTCCAAAGGTCGCGGGTTCGATTCCCGCTCAAGTCAAACATTTGTGTGCATGAACATTTAATGTTTGATTTGGTCTGGGTGTTTCTATAATATGTATGTATTTACAAAAAAAAAGTATATATGTATTAGTTTATCAGATCTCATTAGAGATATCAGTTGTCTAGTATCCATAGTACAAGCTCTGCTTAGTTTGGGACTAGATGGCGTTGTGTGAATGTGGTTGAATATTATTATTATTATTTGATGCTTTCACCGAGTAGTAAAATAAATCGAAAGGAAGCTTAACCGATCGACTTTTCCTTCAACAAAATGTTGGTAATATTTACAGGCTCTCATCTCATTTACAGAAGTGTCTTCATGTCCCGATTGGGAGGGCACAACAATGTCTGATTAGTAGAGAGAACAAAAACCTGATCAGAGAGACAAATAACCGTGAGATAAAGAACGCCTTTATGAAACAGCTTTGCTTGGCAGTGAACGTTCCACACCTGATCTGATGAAGCGAATGTAGTGACTCACCAAAATTTAAATATAAATAAAACATGTCATTGTGTCACAAAAAAAAAACAGCTATTTTCATTAGCTTGAAAAGGCACTCGGAACATGTAACTAACGTGTTCTTGAAATCGCGTGAAACAACCACAGTTATTTCTAATTTGCTCCTTAAAGTTCCACCACACATTGCGAATGGTGGGAAACTTCACGTGTCATTCTACCTACCGTACTTGGACGAAAACAATTACTGCTTCCATTTAACGTTCAATCATCAATACTCTTCAGTTTGCTTTACCTAAAGACGGGTGCGATTATGTTTTTTTTGCAGTCATAACTGCTATGTGCAAGCCGCTTGCTAATTTGCGTCTATATCGTAAACTACACGATACGTTTAACCCGCGCCGCGCGACTCGGCGACAGAAATGTCGACACATTACCGACGACCTAACGAGCCGACTCGATACCAGTGACGGGACTTGTTATCGATAAAAAGTGCGCTATGAATATGAATTTATTTCGACGCTCTTAAAATATTATTGACTGCTATCTTGATATACAATGTGAATTATTGAACTGCGCAGCGGTGTTTGCACGCTTCACATTTTGATTTGTTATCAGATGTGCATTCCTTAATCTTTTGCGGATGCTCCTTACTACTGTAATGTACGATATTTTTTTTGCAATAAAACAATGTTTGTTAAAATTATAAAATGTAATAGTGTATCCAGTGTCAAATATAAGTATAGTATCTAGTATTTTATTAGTTTCATACTCGTATCTTTAAACTATCCTAAATTAAATATTTTATTTAAACACTTTTTCATAACTTGTATTCTTTAATTTGTTTATATCGACCAAAATGCTGTTTTTCAAGTGCTATCGATTGCTCTCTTAATATTAAATCAAACGGCACTACACACTGTCGCTAACAAATCGACTAGTTATCAGCCAATCGGTGGCAATAAGTTCTGGCTTCGCATCGGTAAATATCGATATAAAATATCAACAGCCGAGACTGACGACACGCGAGGTCGCACAACACTAATTTAGCGTTGACACGCGACTGGCATCGCCCGTATTTTGATGTAGGGTTGTATGCTATGTGTTGATGAGCTGACTTATAATAAAGTGAGATATTAAAAACGACATTCAGTGAGGCTATTAAGGCAACTGTTTTTGGGATCATTAATTGTTTTTTCTTTAGGAAAAATAACTAATATAAAATATTAATAAATATAAATATTTCGGACATCTGACACACAACTCCATCTACCTACGTTCAAATTAAGTAGAGCATGTACTATGTAAATTAGGTCGGCTGATAGAATACTTATATACTTTTTTTTTAAATACTAAGACACCCAACTCTGAAACAAATATTTGCAGATTATACGAACATTTGATCTGATCCGGGAATCGAACCAGTGACTTCAGCACAGCAGTCGCATACGCTACCACTGCACCACCGAGGCAGTCAAATAACAGAAAGAAGACTACTATGATAAGCTAGATTTTGTCTGTAGCTTTGCTTCGTCAATTCTGATATATTTTCTAATGTAAAACCCAAATTCAAAATGAAAATTCTAAGCCAAATTTCATCCCGATTCGGTCAGCCGGTCTGGCGTGACTGAGTTATAATAAACATCCATCCCCACTTGCTCCCCGCGTCCCCACTCAGGCCAGGAAGGGAACATCGTGCGAGCCCACACACGAGGGAGTCATTTGTAAGCCCTAGATGGCCGTTCAGGGTACCAGGGATTTCCTTTCTAGGTTACACCTGGTTCTTCGGCTACTGGAACCGGAGACGGCGTGCGGTTGTAGTCGGTTCGAATCTGACATAACCACCTCACCGGCGCAGTTGTTCTGTGGGGGGTGTTCGAGAGAATTTCCTCACGAAAGAACGGTTAGTTCTTTTCTCTGTGTTCTTACACTAGGATAGTAAATTGATTACCAAAATTAGTAAACATGAGCGGCATTCGAAGGCCAGTTGAAAATAAGTGGGTTAAAGAAACGAAAATGGATAAATCATCACTTGCAAATAGTGCGGTTTTAAAATTAAGTTATTTATAGTTGATTTTCGCTGTCATATTTTAACAATAGTAACCTTCGTGAGTCACACAAATTCTAAACAAAGCCATTTGATGTATGACACAGCGTTGGGGCATTCAAAATTTTGCCTTTGACTGTACGTATGTTACGTTTTGTGTATATGTAATGATGTTGTAAGTACAATGTCACTTATTCTCTAATATTACAAACTAGCTGGTACCTGCGACTCCCTTCGCGTAAAATTTTAGTGGTGTGGTACGGTTGTTTTTTCCGGTATAAGGGGACAAATGATCAGACGGGTCACCTAGTGGTGTACCAGGGATTTCCTTTCTAGGGTCCACCTGGTTCCCCGGCTACTGGTACCCGAGACGGTGTGCGGTTTTTGCGACATAGCCACCGGTGGGTGGTATCCAGGGGGGTTAGAAAAAAGTGGTGTCCATGAGGCCTCGGGTTCGATTCTCGGACTGGGCAATATTTTCTAGGGTTTTTCTGAGAGGAAAAATAGCCTAACTTACTCCTTATATAGACAGCTACCTGGTAGTAAAATATTATCAAAATTGGTCCAAAATATTTTAAACTTGAAATTAGGCATAGGAATAGTGCAACTGAAAAAAATTGACATTACAAAAATACACTTCAATTTTTTTTTTTTTTTGTATAGACATACAAGACGTAAAATATACAATGAGTACAGTATATCAAATTGAATTGCAAACGATGGGCCTTTTAACCTAATAAAAAACCTACAAATATATAGAGGCTCTGCCTAGTTTAGGATCACCTACTCTATGTGAGATGTGTGAGGTTATTATTAATTTGTCTTTGAATATATTTGTAAATACAAGTTAGTCAAAAGTAATAAAGCTAATTATCTTCAATTTGATCAATCACATCAGATCAACAGCCTTTAATAGTCTACTGCTGGACATAGGCCTCTCCTTAGAAAGGAGGTTTTGGCCTACTAAATTTATAATTTGGTCATTAGTGGATCTTTAATTTGGTTTCGAGTGCTCTTTCTATGAGTACCGCGAGTACCGAGTATAAACGATGATTGTAGATTGTAGATTGACTTTAATTCCAATACATTCTAAAAAAATAAAATGTATTCAATACATACACAATAAAAAAAAATTTTTTGTTGTTAATGTTAATAAAAGCAAACATTTATGTTATGAAATAAATAATATTCATTCTTTCTTTACGTTCCTTTCCCATGAAAAGACGGCTCACAAAACACTTTATTAAGAGGAGGAATATAGTACTGCAGTCTCGGTTCCAAGAACGGAAGGGATTTATATATAAATATGATTTCAAAGTAGTACATATTTTTGTCATTCATTGATTAAAGTAACTGCGTCATTGAGAAAACTTCCTAGCACAGTTTATTTTTATTAAATTTAAAGAATTTAAGATAAAAATAAATCTAATTTAGGTGCGTGCTACTGTGGTTATGAAATTACTTGATATTATAGTCATCACTTAGTATCATGTAAAAAATAGGTACTATTTTCCTGATAAATCTTCAAAAAAATTAAAATATCTCCAACAGTATTACCACAGATATTAACTTAGACTTCTATATTAGTTCAAATTGCATCGTCATCAATATTCCTTCCATCAATTATATTTGAATGTCTCGAACATTTAGATAAAACAAAAAGGTTTGATAGGACTTATAAATTATAATTATTTACGGTAAACATTGCCAAGAATGACTGACGCATCTTTTTTCTTTGAAATG